TTTTTTAAGAATTTTTTTTGACAGTTATTGTATTGTCGTTGTGCTGATGGACAATGATGTTTGATTCTCTTTTATACATTTTTTTCATTTTTACTTATCCAGCTCGTGTCATGCTTAAACATTGTTTATGATTGTAGTTCGTAATTTTTGATATATCAACTTAAAGACCATGCTTGAATTTGTATACAGACTTCAAAGTAGTTTAAGATTATTTCTTTTGGCTCAAATGATAAGAGCTTTTGTCGAACCCCTTTCATTATAATTTTGCTCCCCTCACACTAGTGTTGCCTCCTCTACATTGGTGTTTCAGCTTTCTTACATTTCCTCTTTTTTCTATCTTGCTTCCGGATTAGGTTTTGTTATATGTAAATTCTTACATTGGATAAAGCCTAATTCCACTGTCCTTTGAAGATAAGACCTTAGTGAAAACGGACTTCCTTTTTTAAAATTGCTCAACCATGTGGCAAATCCTTTTTTTTTTTTTTTTTTTTTTAGTCCATGCATTCTTGCAAAAGAATTCATATTTTTCTCTTCTTTAATGTGGTGCTTATAGTTCTCTGAGCCGAGGGTCTATTGGAAATAACCTCTCTATCTCCACAAGGTAGAGGTAAGGCTGCGTACACACTACCCTCCCCATACCCCTCTATGTGGGATTATACTGGGTTGTTTGTTTTTGTTGTTGTTATTGCAAAAGAAATGATTTCCTATGAAGGACATCTTGCCAAAAGAAACAAACATCATCAGAGAATGCTCCTTTCATGTTCATTGTAACCATATTAAGCATCAAACTATTGCCTGTTTTAGTTCACTGCGCCTTCTTTTGAGTAACCAGGTTTTAGCTTAGTGCCTTTGCAATTGATTCTTCACCAAGCTCGAACTCTTGGGTTATAGAATTAAAGCTCCTCGTTTCTTTTGTTCTCTTTTTCTCGAATGAACGTTGCTATCATCTGAACCGAGTAACTTCGGGTGTGTTTGGTAAGAAAGAAAATGTTTTCCATGGAAAATGAATAGTTTTATTACTTATTTTCCCTTGTTTGGTTGGTGAGTGGAAAATATTTCCCGAAAAATATTTTCTATTGTTTGGTTAGAGAGTAGAAAAATTTTTTTTTAGAAAAATATTTTTTACGCAACTCTCCTCCCCCTCCCCCTCCCCCCCACCCCTCCCCCTCCCCCCCTTCCCTAAGTCTCTAAAAATTGACACAACCCAAAGCAACTAATATGTTGCTTTACTTTTTTACGTAAAAACCGCGAACTTTCGAACCCGTAAACTTTATAATTTCTAAACCCGTAAACTTTCAAACACATTTAAACCTCTAAACTCATAAACTTTTGGAACTTGTTAAAATTTCGAAACCTGTAGTCGACAGATGAAAAAAATTAAAATTGAAAATATATTATTAAAAAAAAAAATATTTTTTTCCCGGGGGGGTGGCGGGGGTAGTGCAGAAAAATAAAAAAATAGAAATTTTGAAATTAAAAAAAAAAGGTAAATTTTTATTTTGCGCAACAAGGGGGGAGGGGGTGAGGGGGGTGGGAGGGGGCAGGGGGCCAGGGCCGTATGTGCAGAAAAATTAAAAAAAAATAGAAATTTGAAATTTTAAAAAAAAAAGTAAAAATTTTTTTTTTTGCCGCGGGGGGGGGGCGGGGGGGGGTTGCAGAAAAAAAAAACGAAAAACAAAAATTTGAAAATTAACAAAAAAAAAAAGCTAAAAAAAAAAAATTTCTTTTTTGTGCGGGTGGGGAGGGGGGGCAGTGAGGGTAGGGTGGCGGGATAGAGGGTGGTATAAGGGAGATAGCCAGAGCATTTCAATTTCGGAATTCTACCCACATTCGCAAATTTAATTACTGGGTCAAAAACCTAATATCACTGAACTTATAGCTGGATTTGTTAACTCATATACAGCACATAAGACGAAGGGTGTGTTTGGTTGAAGGAAAACATTTTGGTATGGAAGGGAAACATTTCCAAAAATGTTTCCTCCAATTCCCATGTGGTGCTAATATTTTGAATATTTTCCTAAAATTCAACTTCCATTCCTTCCAATTTGGAAGAAAATGTTTTTCCTTATCAAGAGAAAGGGAAAACATTTTCCAAAACTCCTTTCTCAAACCTTCCGCCCACCCTACCCCCTACCCACCCCACAACCCTCCACCCCAAACCCCACGCCGCTGACCTCACGATAACTCTCCAAAAAAAAAACTGGATATATTTAATATTTAATTTATTAATTAAAAATTTCCTTTTTTAAGTTTTTTAAGAAGTGAGATTTCAGTTTGGTTTTTTCGTCACACCCCCCTGCTTATTCCCCGCCCAAAACCCTTACCTCACTGCCCCCCCCCCCTGCCGCCCGGTGGGCCCCCGCCGACTCCAAAATATGAATACGGCTTCAAGTGGTAGCGGGTGCGGTAGGTTGGGGATAGGGTTGGGAAGGTTGAGAAGGAGTTTTTGGAAAATGTTTTCCCTTCTCTTGATTAAGGAAAACATTTTCTCCAATTGAAAGGAAAAATGAGTTGATAAGGAAAATATTTTCCAAAATATTAAAGCCAACCAAACATGGGGAAAATTGGAAAACATTTTCTGGAAATGTTCTCCTTCATACCAAAATGTTTTCCTTCATACCAAACACACCCTTCGTCTTATGTGCTGTATATGAGTTAACAAATCCAGCTAAATAAGTTCAATATATAGTTTTTGAACCCAGTAAATTAAATGCGATGTGGTAGAATTCCGAATTTGAATGCCTCTGGCTATCTCCCCATACATAATTGAAAGAATTACAAGAAAATACACATGACTTCACACCATAATAAAAAATGGCCCATGTTTTTAAGTTTTATCCCACCTAGCCCACATTGTACATATTTTGAAAGCACTTGCAAATTCAAAATATATGTTTTTACAACAATTGCTTCTAAAAGCTATGGAGTTAATTCTTTGTTCTCACAACTATTGCTTTCACTCTCTTTTCTTCTCACATCTTTTATATATGCTTCAAAGGACCGTGTATTTTCTGCTTCTCCTCTTGTGTCACCTGCTTGCAATGAAAGAAAATTGAAGAGTAGAAGTCCACCATTGAAGATCATTCAAAGCTTTGCTTTTGAAAATGGGTTGTTTTGAATTTGTTAGTTGTTTGGATTGGGTATTGTTCCAATTTATTGAAAATATCAAAAGGAGTACAAAATTTAAATTTGAAGTGATTTGGAGCAATGTTTTAAAAGGCGGGGGCGTGAGGCGAGGCGTTTTACCTCTGGCGAGGCGAGTCGTAAGCCCTGAGACATGGGGCGTAAGTCCCACGGATCTTTAAATTTTACTAATTTCAAGAATTTTAAAATAGTATAAAATAAAAAGTAATTATAAAAATTACATTAAAATCACAAAATTATAACAAATAATCTATTTAAAATATTTATAAATTATAATTCAACTATGATTTATACAAAAGTATGATATATATCATAATATGCAAGTTAGCTGCAACGTCGTTGCAACTCAAACATCAAAAGTAATATATTCGGTGTGAAATCTTATATGTATCTCTTAAGGAGTAATTATCTTGAAAGAATTTCGATATTATAATTTTTTTTTAAATACTCCCTTTATTTAATATGTATTCGAAAGAGAATTTATATAAAAATATAATTCACAATTTAAATATGATTCTCTAGCATTATTTATTTTTAAGTTTCAACAAGTTAATAAAGTGAAACATAATTCACTGTACTATATCATGATAACTAATTATTTGTAAATAGTTACTAGTTAATGCTGAGCTATTAAATTAATAAGTATTGTATCTCGTAAACGTGAAAATAATAATATTTAGAAAATAATTATAAAAACTAATATAATAAAGACACAACCAAAGTTAATAAATAAATACTTTTAAATGAAAGATTTATTTAAAATTTACTATCATAGCAATCTTAGCGGATAACGTGCAATAATTTTTATTTTAATTATGACATAAATACTCTCAACTTAATGATTTATGATTAAGAAAAAAGTAATTTTGAATAGTCAATGATTTATTAAGAAAGTTTGACGATTTACAAGATTAGTTACACACAATTGTATAAAGTTCTATTAGGCGAGCCCAGTACGCTGGGCGTTGGGCGTGTCCGGGGCGTAAGCCCCGACGGCCGAGGCGTAAGTCTCATGGAACTAAGTCCCACATATAAGCCCAGGGGCGTTTTACGAGTGCTCCGCCCGATGGCGAGCCCCGGGCGAGTCCCAGTTCTGCCTTTTAAAACAGAGATTTGGAGTAGATTTGAGCAAGATTTGAATTAAATTTCAGAAAAGACGCAAGAAATAAGACGAAGTCAGTTTTTTGTATAATTATGTATAATATTGTATAATATTGTATATGAGTGTAGAAACACACCTTATACACTGTTATACACTTTTATACACGTTTATACAAGCGTCTGTAGACGAACTTCTTCCACGATTTTCAGTTGCAATTCTTATTCAAAACCAGTCCAAATCTCCATTAAATGACTTCAAATTTTATATACAACCTCCTTATACTATTTCTAACAAGTCTAAATAACACCCACTCCAAATTTTTCATAAAATCAAATTCGAAATTTAAACCCACATATTTAAGCTTGTTAAAAATCTAATTTTCACCACCCAAATGAAGTTGGTTTGTTGAATTAATATTTGAGTCACAATTACTGATTCGAAAAGTAATTTAAAAGCTTGAGGAATCTTTTTAAAAATTAAATAGTAATTTTGAGAACCTATTGGAGTTGAATGTTGAATATTAGCTTATTATTTATGGGCTAGTTGATTGTAAATTGAAATATGGGCTATAAAATTGAAAAGTATAAAGCCCAGTTGTTCTAATATGAAATTTTCCCTACATAATTTAAAAGAAGGGAACGTTTTACGTAGAACATTCAAGCAAACTAGAAATATCAGTTCAACAACTAACTAATCGACCTTAATTTCGGTAAACTCACAGAAATTAACAAATTGTAGGAGATTAGAGCAACATAAAAGTAGAAATTGCAGACAAACTTGCTAACTCGGTAAATTAGGACTCAACAATCTCAATTTTAACGACTTGTCCATCATCAAATGGATCTCTTTTTGGAGCAGCTGGAGGTGCTGCAACCCTAGGTGGTCCTCTTCCCTTCTTCTTATTCCTTGGCCTTGCCTAAACGAATTCATAGATGCGCAAAGAGTTAATATCAGTTTAGTTAAAAACTTTATTCAATCAATTATGCATCAATCTCAAACTACTTAGACCATCCATATAAACCCCTTTATCTATACTTGAACCGAGGGTCTATCAGAAATAACCTCTCTATCTTCACATGGTAGGGAGGGGCGGATGCACTCTTAGTGAAGCGGTGTCACGCGACACGACTTCGTCGATTTTTTTTTAAATATATATATATACACACTATGATGAAAGGGATAAGTAGAAAAAAATGACATCACTTGACATAAATTGTCTCTTGGTGCATTGGTTATATGCTTAATTTTGCTCTAAAAGGTCAGAGTTTCAAACCGCAACTAGCACATTTTTTTGCAAATATTTGAAAGAGTATGTATGGTTAAAAAATATGATGAAGTAGAATTGAACTCAGGACCTTTTCTAACTTGAAACTCAACAAAATCGATAGACTAGAATATTTCTTCTCTAGAAGTATGATAATTGAAGTTATTATTCTTGTACTTCTATAAATTTTGACACTGTCTTACAAAAATTCCTACGTACGCCCCTGATGGTAGGGATAAGGTTTGCATACACACTACCCTCCTCACGCTGGGTATATCGTTGTATCTCTTTCTCTATTAAGGTTCCTTTCATTGCAATACTAGTAAATGATTGTTTAATTAAATAAAAGGTTACCTACATCCTTACACAAATACACAAGTTTTCAACTAAACTATAAAAAACAAATTACATTTTAAGAACTTAAAGAGTGAAGCCAAACTCACATTGCCAAAGGAGTGATTGAAGCGCTTGCCTTTTGCAGTTTTCTTGTCGCCTCTGCCACAGTAAACTGAAATCAAATGCATAAGATCATTGTCCTGAATTAAATTGCATAGCAGTAACAAAAGAAAAATTCAAAATTTGGGCGGTTTTATAATTGTAAGGTTAAAAAATAGGGCAAAATTAAATACAAAACTAGCCGGTCCACTAAAAATAATTGCATTCGCTAGCCGAAAAGTGTATAAAATATGTACAGAGACAGCCGGATGCACAAGGCATCCTGCATACATGCGGGTTTAGGGAAGAGCCGCATCCCAAGGGGTGTGATATAGACAGCCTACCATAATGCAAGCATTAGTGGCTGTTTCCACGACTCGAACGCATGACCTACAGGTCATACAGAGACAACTTTAGTGTTGCTCCAAAGTTTCCCTTTGTATAAAAGATGTATATTTTTTGTATATAGTACACATATATACAAAAAAATATACATTTTATTAGGAATTATTTTTAGGAGCGGCTAAAAATATTTCTCTTAAAATATGGTTCTACAAGTGCTCCATACTCAATGGAAGTTTTGCAAATGTGACATTGGAAGATACTGATGCTGAAGATGTTGCTGAAACTGCGACGCCGGAGATGGACACAGAACGAGAGAAAGATAAATTAGGAGAGAGAGCCGCCATGGATTGAACAGAAATAGGAACTGAACCAAGTAAAGACGACGCCATATTGAACCTGAAGTGATAATGTGGTATAGAATTAAAGCTTGTGGCCGTTCAAAAGCTTTATGTTTTCTGGATAATGTCTTAAGGGATAAAACGATACCCAGTGTTCAATGGCTCTGGAAGCTTGTCTCTTTCTTTTTTCTTTTTTTTTTTTAAAGAAAGAAAAGAAAAGAAAAGAAAACTAACTAAGGCTCCCGAAATTTAATCTATTGATAAGTTCAATTTCTTTTAAAACATGTGATGTATTAAAAAAATTAAAATTCTTTTATTTATTAGAGGAAATGAGATGTTTAAAGAAAAATTAAGAATAGTTTAGGCAATTTTATGTTTCAAGAACTTGAAAAGAAATAGATAAATATGGATTGAAAGAAGTGTTATGTAGATGGAAGTAGGGGTCGCCTTGAAAAACTGAGTGAAATGGCAATCATAGAACAAAAGTTTACTACTACTTTTTTTTAAATAAATCCAAGGTTTTTTTATTTGTGAATATGTAGGGTTTGAAATAAAAGAGTAATAGACTAATAGTAGACTATGGAATTCCCATTATCATCCATGTAAAAACTTGTTTATGCTGGAAAAGAAAAAGAAAATAAAGGACAGGTTTCAATTGCATATAGATGTCTTGGTAATTCTTTTTATTTTTTTACACCAAATTAATGCATGATATATGTCGTTAATATACATTATCTATTATTTAATTATGATTAATTGATGTATATATTTTTATTTTTAATTAATTAAATTAAATTATTTGATTTGAAATAAAGTTATGGTGTGTAAAAAGTTCGTAGTTATGCTCTCTACTACTCACCTAAAATTCCACCTTCCTTCGTCATCATGAGTCATCCCTCCCCCTCCCCTCCACCGCTCCTCCACCCATCCAACACCACCACTGGAGGAGCCACGAACATTGATACTCCCCCTTTCCCATCCCACACCATTGTCCCCACTCCCTCCTATCTCCGTACCCTAGTTTCTACTGAGATGGCCCCTTCCTCTCTTCATCAACCTTATTCCACAGCGACCACACTAGACCTAACTGATGAAAACACAGTACAAGGTGACCCTACTCTCTTCATTCCTCTATCACCAGAGGATAAAAGTAGATTGTATACACCATGGAAACATGCAGTTATCGTTAAAGTTTTTGGCCGTAAAGTTGGCCACCAAATTTTAAGACAAAAAGTTCATGCACAATGGCAACCTACAGAAAACCTACCTCTAATCGATTTAGGCTCAGATTTCTTCCTAATTAAATTCCAAAAAGAGGAGAATATGCAGCGTGCTTTATTACATCAAGGACCTTGGTTTGTTTTAAATCATTTTCTCTCTGTCCGTTAATGGACACCGAAGTTCATATCATCTGAAACGAAACTACAATACTCTGCAATTTGGTTGTGTCTGCCTGAGTTACCTACAGAGTTTTATGATTTACAAATCTTACAGAGAGTTGGTAACAAAATTGGCAAACTCCTAACTGTTGATGCATGTACGTCTTCCACAACTAGGGGTCGTTATGCCCGGCTATGTGTTGAAGTACCATTAGATCAACCACTAAAAACACACGTTTTTATTGGAAGCCATAGACAAACAATCCTTTACGAAGGACTGAATATGCTGTGTACCAGCTGTGGCAGACTTGCCACAATAAAAACTTTTGTTCCTTCTCTTCACAGTCAAAAAATCAAGCTGCCACCTCTTCCTTAGCCCAATTAAATCCCGATTCTAATATTGCTGCTTCAATCACCATCCCACAATCAGAAACGGAGTGGAAAACAGTCCAATTTCCAAAGAGGAATCAGTCCAAGCCACGTACGCCGCCTTACCTATATGCAGGTATGTCATCTAACCCTAATCACGTAGATTTTGTTAATCTTTCTATTAACAATACTAATAAAGGAAAACAAAATGCTATAACTCAAGAGTTACCTTCCACTAATTATGCCTCTAATAAATTCCAATCATAACACCCAAGGATCTTAATAATTTTAAAACTTTAAATGATACTCAACACCTCACTAATTTAATAATTCCTACTACTACTCCAAACCCTACTTCTGTCAGCACACTCCACCCATCACCTCCAAAATCCTCCACGTCTCCTCCTCTCCATGCAGACCACTCACACAGCCCTATACTACCACCTGCCACGTAGAAACCCTCCCACATATCCAATAAACTCCACTCACCCAAGCTACCACATCTATACCCTAACCAACCAATACCACATACTACCAAAACAATCCCTAATACCCAACAACCTTTTCCTTCTCAACAAAGTAAACAACTCCCCATTCCCATGCAATCCAATCATGATGAATCGACAAACCCAAGTAACACACAAAATCTATCCAAATCTGAAATTCAGATCCAACACAATCATTCTCCACGGGCACCAAACACCATTCATATAAGCCCTACTTCCTCACCAACACTCAATCCCTCTAATACCCCACTGCAAATTCCTTCTTCTACTTCTACAACTACAATACACGATGAACCCAAACAGCCTACTTCACAGAAGTCTACCAGCACAACCAAGGCACTCCATACAACGACTCACCCACCAACAAACACCTCACTCAATTCCACCCCCACTGTTAATCATGGAGCCCAACACCACCATCTACACAGCCCAAACACTACATGCAACGACCAACCCAACTTCTTGGCTAGAGGTAGGTCTACAAAATCATGATCTCACGTTCACAATGGAGGTGAACAACCAGGAAGTAACAATCTTGATCAACAACCCTCGGGATCTTGCACAAATTATCACGGAGGGGATGCAATTGGGGACGAAGATCTATGGCCGGTATCCCTGGTCTATGATGCAAGCACCATACCTTGCACCATACCAGCCACTCAATCCACCAGTACCCTCTTGGGATCCCACTCATCTCCATCACAACCTCATTCAGATGCCATTCTATCCACCCCCCTCACTAGTTCCATCAACTGCTTAGATCCAGCCTTACTCACTTCCCCACCAACCTTCTCTAATGATGGAACCCATCACACCCCCTACATACTCACCACCACAGTCCCACCCCCTGCTCCCAATCCAGTCGTACAAGATCCAGAGTTTCAACAAGAAGTTGTAGCAGCAATGGCTTACAACAGAGAGACTCGTCTAGTTCATGCATGCCTCGACGCAATAAAGGTATTTGTCTAGAAGAAGGAATACGAAAGAAAAATCTACATTCGTTGTCCTCCAAATCTCATAACATGTTCCCTTCGCATTCGACCATGCAATTCTTCTATTCCCAACACTCCGCCTACGCCCAGGGCAGAACAACACCAATCTGGGGAGGGTGCAGAGCAACCAGCTGCTCACCTCAACCACTAATCATATGAACTTTATTATTTGGAACTGTCGAGGAGCTCAATCTGCCGAGTTCCATCGAAACTTTCGTTCTTTGCTGCACTATAATCGCCCTTCTCTTGTGACTCTCTTGGAAACACACTGCCTAAACCACCAAAATTTAAAAGAAGAATTTAATTTTACGGGCATGGTAGAGGTAAGTGTTGTAGGACAATCAGGAGGAATTACTATCCTATGGAACACTGACGAGGTTACACTGGAGCCTATAGCCACTACACAACAGGAAATCCATTGCAAAATCCAGGTAAATCCTTTTCCTTTTAAATGGTTATCTAGTGTAATATATGCTAGCACTGTAGCTCTTAATAAAGAAATACTTTGGAATAATATGGTGTTTATATGACAATTATAAAGGCCTATGGCTAATTGATGGGGATTTCTATGAAATAACACATGCTACTGATAAATTTGGAGGACGAAATATTAATAATTCACGTACTAATAAATTTATAGATTGTATAAATTACTGTCAATTAAGTGACCTTGGCTACAAGGGTAGCCGTTATACTTGGGCAAACAGTAGATCTCATGGACGCAATATTCTGGAAAGAATAGATCATTTTTTCGCAAACTATGATTGGATAAATCATTATCCAAATGCCCTTGTCCATCACCTTCCACGAACCCATTCGGACCATTGTCCTCTATTAATAAAACTTAAATCTAGTATGTCACCTAAGGAAAAACCTTTTCGTTTTGAAACAATTTGGGCATCTCACCCAACTTTTCCCATGTTAGTTACTAAAATTTGGCAGGAACAACCACTTCTTATTCCAGCTATTAACCCATTTACTGAAGAAGTTCAACAGTGGAACAAGTCCACATTTGGTAAGATTTTCAAGCGTAAGCGTAAACTCTTAGCTCGACTAGGAGGAATCCAATCATCCATCAACTATCCTACAAGCTTGTTCCTACAAAAATTGGAACATGAATTAATGAATGAGTTCAAACAAATACTAAGGCAAGAGGAAGAATTTTGGAAACTAAAATCAAGAATTAATTGGCTAAATGAAGGCGATGCCAACACTCGCTTTTTTCATCTATCAACCCTTAATAGACGAAGACATAATAGAATAACTGCTTTACAGGATGATGGGGGTAATTGGATTACTGATCAATAGCTTATCAAAATTAACATCACTAATTATTACAATACACTCTTTACTACTCATTCCACCCTTACATACAGACACCACTCAATCCAACCGCATAATGTAGTGACTGAGGTAGAAAGACAACAATTAGATCTACCCCTTCAGGATCATGAAATTATTGATGCTATTAACTCTTTCCAGCCTCTCAAAGCACCAGGCCCTGATGGTCTTCATCCATATTTCTACCAAAAATATTGGAATACGGTTGGAAGCTCTGTTAAATCCTTTTGCCATATAGTTTTTACCAATCATAAGATAAATCCCTCCATTAACAAAACCCTCATTTGCTTAATTCCCAAAAATAAGATAGTATCTACAATTTCTCAATTTAGACCAATAAGCCTTTGTAATACAATTTATAAAGTTATTACTAAAATTATCTCTAACAGACTAAAACCCATTCTCCAGCACATTGTTCATCCCACTCAATCTAGCTTCCAAAAAAAATGGCATGCTACTGATAGTGCCATCATTGTCCAGGAAATCATGTCTCGTTTCCAAAAAATGAAAGGCAAAACATCTTACATGCTACTCAAACTTGATCTTGAGAAAGCATTCGACCAACTAGAATGGTCATTTATTCACTACAGACTAGTCACA